TCATCTGGCACGGCCCCTCCTGGAGATGAGCACCACAGCGGGTGGCTTCCAAGCCCTGAGGACTGGAAACACAATCTTCAAGCCCAGCTTCTGCTGCATGCAACGGGCAGCAGCTGACCTCCCTTGTCCGGCAGCAGAGCTGCACGAGGAGGGGCAGCAGACCCACAGGCATCCCTGGGGAGCGAGGGGTTTTGGGCACAGGCACCTGGCGTGCTGGTTTGAAGGGCTGCAGCTTGGTGGCGTGCAGAGGGAGGCTGATTTTGGATGGTGTTTTACATGGCTTGAGCTCATCAGGCCTTGAAGAGGAATTCCCAGCTCTTACTATTTTCGCTCCAAGCAATGAGAGCTAACAACAAAAGCATCCAGAGAGATTTAACATCATTAATGGTGGCTTGGAAAGAGAGGGCGAGGTAAGCAAGAGGAAGCAGGGGAGGAGGACTGAGGTCTCTGGACAGGTATTCCAGGCATTTTCCACTGCAGTACAGCAGGCTTCAGTCCTGTCTGTCCTCCAAAAGCTGCAAGGACAAACTGCCAGGGAGACCTTCAGGTTTGGGACCTCTGTTTTGCATTAGGCTTAAGGCAAAGATACTGGTCACTGCCTCCTCTTCCTCCTGAGGAGGAGGAAGGCATCGCAGTGAAGTCAGAGCCTGCTGCCTGACCGTGTCTGACAGCGCCTAAAGGTGTCTTGAAACACGGAGAGAAAAATCTTCACGCTCATTAAGTGAGATCATGCTTTTTAATTAGCCTCCACTGACAACTCAAGCATGAACAAGCCTGGTGAGCTTCCACGTGGCAGGGGCTGTGCGCACACACTTCTGCTCCTGGCTGTGCGGGATGGGACAGAGCTGACACAGAGTTCAGTGCTAGGTGGGAAAGGACACTGATCGTGGCACCCAGCAAGCAGCTCCTGCTGTTTGCCATCCACCTGCATCCCCTTTTCCCCAGCATCATCCTGCAGGTCTGAGGCTCAGCCCCAGTTGCTGTGGCTGATAGAGGAGGTGAGCATCAGCACTGTCACCTGGCACAGCCCATTTCCCCCTCGTCCACCTCCCTGTTATCAGATCCTGTCCATCCTGATTTAAACTAATGGCTTCCTCATGCACAGCCCAGAAAGTATTATCAGCCAGATCCCTATCACTCTCTAATATACCTTAAGGCTCCAGCTCCTATTTGTCTAAATCAGGGGGAAAAGAAAGAAGAATGTAGCCCATTGAGCCCCAGTGAGGCAAGGGGCAATGGCTGGAGATCCAGCCCTGAGATGTCTAGCGCTGCTGTCTGACTTCTTCTCCCTCTTTACCTGGCACTTTGCTCTAAAACAAAGAGTAAATATGTCAGTACGGACCAATTCCACAAATACCAGCCTGCGGGAGCCAGCCTGGCTGCAGTTTGCTTCCTGCCCATGGCTCCTGGCTTCTCAGCCTGCTCCAGCTGCTGCCCACAGCTCTGTGGCAGTGACCTTTGCAGAGACAGGGACATTTATCTTTGTGCAGAGACCCAGGGGACACCAATGAATGCATTCTGAGTGCTCCACATGGCCCTTGACACAGACAGGACCTTCCCAAGAAGCCTGAGCAAAGTCTTTCCCTAGATCACAGGGCAGCCCCATCAGAAGAGGTTACTTGTTTCTGGCACTAACTGGGCGTTGTTGAGATGGGCACTACAGCAACAGAAGTACCAGGCTGAGCGTTTTCATGCCCAGCAAGCAGCTGTGTTTTGGTTCACACCTCAGGCTCAGCAGCAAGTGGTGCCCACACAGCCTGCCCTCTCATTGCCTGAGCACCTTTCTGCTTCTGCAGGACTGTGAGGCCCTCAGGGACACGGAACAAGCTCTTATGAAGTAACCAGCTCTGCTTCTCTCTCTCAGAACAAACCTCGCTGACACATGCCAGCAGCAGCTCAACATCCAGAAGACCAGTGCATTGAAGACATGAGAAACCACCAAGGATTTACATTTTCCTTGGGGTTTTTGTTGTTGTGCAGACCATCGATGCCTTTCTTTCTGCATCTCCAGATCCCAGGAGTCCTTGGCTGCTCTTGCAGCATTGCTCCCACTCCCCATCAAGGACTTTTTTTCACCCATTGCTGGTAATTCACACGCTATCCTTGGTCAGGGTGGGATGCACAGAGCCACGGAGGCACTCGCTAGCTGATGCAAGTATCTTACTGCAAGACAAACAGCCTCCAGATAAGTAACTCGATACATTTTATTAATATAAAATGGGACTTTTATGTGCAGAATTTGGATGTCACACATACTTTTGTTTCTTTTTTGGACCAGGAAAGATAGGTGGTTAATTGATTAAAAAAAAAAAAAAAGTTACTTTTAGCACAGCAGAGAATATTAACCCCCTCCTTGCCCCAGGCACTCAAAAGCTCTGACAAAGTGAAGTGGAAAATAAACTCTTCTCCAGTCACTTAACAGGTCTGCAACAGGAGGAAATAAGGAACTCTGCCCACCCCTCAGATTGCATTAGTCAGACACCGCAGCATTTTTCAAATAGTCTGTCATTAATCATGACAACACAAGAGAGCGAGGAGGAGATCAAAGAGGTAGAAGTCTGAAATTCCAGTTACGGATTCTCTGCCGTTAAGGTAATGACAAGGTTAGGATCCAGCAACAAGCAATGGGGAAGTATTTCAGTCTACCTGGGCAGCCACAGCTACAGGAACCAGAACAGCCCCCTGAAGCTTAGGGGAATGATGCTGGTGCAGCCCAGGTGAGGATCCAGCCACTTGGATTTATGCAAACCACAGAAGACAGCAGAGCAGGGCTGGAATCTTCACAGGGGTGATATTTCCAGTAGCTCCTGCCTGTGGTTGAAACTGGAAACGCCATCCTCTGAGGTCAGCGTTTCCTCACCTCTGACTGCAGAACACCTCTGGCAGCAAGAAAACGGGGGAAAAACAGCCCAGACAATGGAAGTTATCCAGACGTTACCCAGAAAGGTTCTGGAATGGACACACCCCCGCTGCTGGGGAAGTTTCCATTTGATTTTCAGCAGAAGGTTTCAGGAAAGCTGATGACTCCTTCCCTGAGTGGGAGGCAGATGTGATCCCTCAATGCCAGTGCCCTCATGCACAAGCCCCCAATCCCTTTAATGCCCCAGTCCTCTGCAGCAACAAGCTGATGCTCTCTATTTGTGGCAATATTAACAGGAGTTAATCATGCTTGTAAAGCAGCACTGCTCTTCACAAAGACAGTGTTCCTCTTGGCGTACAGGGCTACCAAACATTACCTAAGGGCAACCTAAGCAAGATCCAGAACACAAGCACTCATTAACCTTGCACGGGCCCAACACATAGGGTGCAGGAACCCACCGAAGCCCCTTTCCCAAAGAGCTGCCAGCTGAAATAGGGAAGACACTAACAATGAGACTTGCCCAAGGCCAACAAGCAGGTCAGTGAGGGTGCCAGAAACCACATCTTTCCATTCTCCTGCTCCCAGACATATCTGCTCCCGCAGGCGAGCACACATCCCCTGAGGGTACAACACCCAGGGCTTCAGGGAGCTGCGGCCAGCATCCAGCCCCGCAGGCAGCACATAAAGCAGCTACCCCTGCGAGCTGCCCTGCTGCTCGCCCTCCGGTCTCTTGTAAAAAACATTCCCAGAACCTCTATCACTTCATAAAACTTTAAAACCCAAACCTGGTAGGAGATATTTATAATGCTTGAGATCATTTCCCCCAGATTGACTGTCATTGCTGTTTTATAGATTACTGGCAACTCCCCTTGCCCTTTGCTGGGAAAAAAATAAAATAAAAAAAAGTTTGATAATTACAGCAGCCCTCAAGACCTTTGATTAAACAAAGCAAACAAACAAACAGCTCCATTCTGTAAATCTTTACTAGACTCCAAGCACAACACACACAGCAAACAGTCAATGCCCTGTCAAAGGAGACACCTGAGCTAGTTCAAGGACTGTTTTCAGCCAGTTTAAGTTGGCCCAGCTTTTCTCTCTTGCAGCTAGAGCTATATTGAAGTGTTCTCCCATTTACTGAAGCTTGAAAGCACCATGGCTGAGACTCCTTCCCTGAGACCAGCTGCTCTTCCAGTGCTCTGCAAGGCAGCCCCAGCTAGAGGGAGGACAAGCAGCAGGCAGAAGAGAAACAAACACTGCTTGCATGCTTGTCTCTTCCCTGGCTTCAGTGTTTACGCCAAACAAACAGCAAACAACGATTTCTTTGCCAAAAAGAAGGCAAAAACAAGCAGCAGTTATGAACCAGAGTACAGAGCGGATCTAATGAAGAAGCCAGTATCTTAAATGCAATTTCTGGATTTAAGAGTTAGGGCCTTAAAACCTGGAAGAAAGTTTTATGGAAACTCAAGATGCTGTTCTCCATGCGATGCCAGGTTTCTCTCTTGTTTTTCATCAGTGTGGCAAGTATTTCTCAGAAGTCCTAATGCTAGGGAAAACGTTTCCAGGCACGTTAGCACTGCGTGTGGGGACGCCTGAGCTGCGCTGACACAGTGCAGGAAGGGGCCTCCTGCAGACACAGCCACACAACAGCACCAACGCAGCCCTGGAGCTCTCCATTGCTGCGGAGCTTTCAAGCTGCTATTTCCATCCTTATCTCCATTTGGAGCCTCTCCACGAGTTGATTAACTGAGCATATAACCAAGAATAAAGATATTTCTCAGCGGTTCCTTCCACCCCCTTGCCCTCTATGCAGATTTATTTGTTTGGGCAGTTACAGAACCACGGGTCTATGCAGGAAAGCTTGGTGTAGGTATAAGAAAGCTGTTCCTTGGGTGTTTGTGGCATGATCCTTATTCACATAGTGGTTTATGAAGAAGACACAAGGCCAGCAGGCTGTGCTCACTGTTCTGTATTTAATTCCAGCCCTCTGGACTCCAGTCCCTCCTCCCCAGCCCTGCACTCTGGTACCTTCCCCACTCGCACCCAGGTGTTCAAAGCCCATGTTACAGTGATCCTACACACAAAATACCCTCACCACCTAGGTGTAAATCCTCCATCCCACATGCAGCCAACACCTACTCACCAGCACTGCAGGTACAAACAGCTGCCTGTCCCTTCCCACTGGTTACTTAGCAGGGAAACAGCAGCTCCTAGGAACCTACAGAAAATTGGCTGTCCTGGATTAAATTTGGTGCACCTGAAACCCTAATCTCATGGCCTCTTAGTCTTCACTGATACCAGCCTGACTTGAGCATTAAGGAAAGTCACTGAACAAGAATCAGCTGTGTAACTGATGAGTTTGGTACTTCCTTTGAATAGACAAGCTCAATTTTTACAGTCAGCAGCTCCCAAATTTTCTATGGAAATGTAGCAGATGAAGCTTTTTGGAACACGCTGCTGTGGCTTTCTCTTTCACTGCAGTTGCAGTGTTGAAGTATTAGTTTTAAAATATATACTAGTAATGCCCTTAGAGGGCTATTTTTTTTTCTTTCCCCTACAGTCACCAATTCAGAGCACGTTTTAAAATTCCCCTTGAGGTTTCCTTCAAGACCAAGCAGCCATTCCGGGTGCAGGCTCCTCTCAGAGAAGAGGCCTGGGGAGGCTCTCTGGTGCTGTTGGATTTCATCACCGTCCCCAAGCCTGATTTATAACCTGTGCCTATTTATAACAAGAGTTTTATATGACAAACTCATCATTTTGCTCGAAGGTTAATAGCCCGCCATTCAAGGGGTTTACATCTGCCGGGCCTTCCTCTGCCGCGTGAGGAGAGGCAGGCAATCTGCTGCTAATCCAACGTAAATACCCCTGGAGTCAGTCTGGAGCGTGGCATCGGGATCATTTACAAAACTGGAAATTCGAATAGAACTTAAAACCTCATAACCTGTCAGCTCACAGCCAGGGAAAATATTCACAGGCTGGATCCTGGTGTCTGGACTGCTCGCTTTTACTTGTCTGTAGAAGAAAGCACGGGGCTGCAGGCTGGATGAACCTGGGGTTACAGCGGTGGCTTTTCTCATCTCCTAACTCCAACACAGCCTGTCCAAGGCCCCGTGTGAATTAAATAAAATTATCTGCAGGTTCACGTGTGAAGGGCTGATCCTGCACAGCACCGTGTCCTTCGGAGGCAGCCAGCTCAGCAGCAGTGACAACTGCAGAGCTGGGACAACCCAGCTGTCCCTTGTCCGTGTAGCTCACAGGACAAAGTTTAAGCGACCACATCAACAGAAACACACCTGAATGGCAATCCAAGGGGAACCCAACATAGAGGGAGCTAAAAAAGCCTTTTAGCAATACCATCTAGCCTCAACCCTTAAGCTAAGGGCAGAGACACGTCCCAGCAGCATGAGGTTATATTCACCATCTCACTAAGCAAGTAACTTTAGCCTGAAGCTGGAAACTTTTAGCCAGACTGTTTAGAATAAGGAATTATGAGTGAAGATAATCACTTTTATAGACATTGAAATTACCAGTCCATGCTCATCCTAGGACGGTTTGGTTTATTGTTCCTGAAACAAAAGCTAAGCAGCGAAGCAGTCTGTTTACATCGCAGCCCGTGTAAGAGGGACGTGTGGTGACCACAGCAATGCAGCATCCAACGACAGGAACACGGAGCTTGGAGGGTCATTTGGGCCAGGAACACCAGGTTCAGGGTCGGTATCTCACAAGCAAAAGCTCTCAGGTAGGGAAAATCCACACAAGAGATGTCAGAACCCTGGATAGTGAACACAGCACAGCACTGACTCCAGCAAACCCAGGCTGGCTTGCATTGGCTTTGTCTGGATCCAAACTGCACGCAGGGTGCACAGCTTGGTGCAAAGGGGCCAGGAGGAAGAGTGAGCAAGTGCATGGAGAAGACAGCAAAGACATAGTAGGTGTTAACTCATCCATGTCACTGCAACCTTCCTGAGAATGTTCCTGAACTAGCTGGTAAATACCTGGACAGAGTTCTGACTGCAAGTAGAAATTACTAATGCTTGAAGCTTTTCAAAGGTAAATGTGTGGAAAATATTTCTGTGAAGAACTGAGATGAAGGCAAGGAAGAAATGTGTTCCAGTAAAGCAGGTGTGCTTTTCCTTACCTTGTTTCCCTGAAACACTAAGCGTCTTTAGAAATTTAAATGAAGATTAAATAGAATTTATTGAAACATATATGTTATATATGTATATTTATATATTTTAAAATGTTCTTTGAATGGAGTTTCAGTTTATTTAGGAGAAGATAGTGCCTGGCTAAAGCCTACCTTAGACTAGCACAACTCTCAGCCATGTAATTCAGTTCCAGTCATGCACCACACTGGGCTAGGAGCAGCATCTATTAATGGGAAATACAAAAGTCTTCCTGCTCCTCCTCTTCAGCAGTCCAAACCAAGCTTCTTGACAGAGGGACTCTTCACAGCTCTCACATACAAAGGTGGCAGTGGATTTAGGAAAAACTCAAGTGGCAGTTTCCCTCTGCTGATTCGTCTTTTCCCCTAGGCTACAAACTGAAACTGAGTCTGACCCAAACAGTTGCTAATGGATAAATGAAAAAAAGCAACGTGACTTGCAGAACATGGATTGAGACCAGAGCTGGAGGAGAACATGAAGAGAGACCAGAGCTGGAGGTTTGCTTCTGTCCCTGACAGTGACCACAAGCAAATTACTCCTTCTGCCAGGGGGGATTTAAGCCGTCACTGCTTAGTCAGTGTGTTCCTCAGGGCACTGTGACTACACACTTAGCTTCTGGCACACTGGGGAACCACCTGCCAGGAAAGCACTCCATACATACATAAAGGCAGAACAATTCACAGGAGTAGAACACAACAAACAGGGAAAAAGAAGAGTCACAAATCCCAAAACGAGTTCTGATAAACATTTTTTAGTTCTACAACAAAATAAATATTTTAACTCTGATTTACCAAGAACAGTGAGACTTTGCTCAAAAAAAAACCCATAGGTATAACAACATACATTGAACGTCACAACACTTGGTGATTATGTCGCTGCAAGTCATGCAAGTAACAGCCCGATTTATTACAAATATTCACGCCGTAGGAAGTACAGGATAGTAATACATGCTGGGATATAGGCCATTTGCCCTGACTACGCCTACTCCATCAAAACCCAGTGCAAACAACCCGTCTTTGTTGATATGGTTCAGCGATATGCATGTGGGTTATACACTTTGTGCAGCTCCAAAAATCACTACTGTGGCAATTTGCTGTCTTTCAGTAGCTGTGGATTCCCCTATGCCAGGGAAATAACCAGTACACAACAGGGTACTAAAAAAAAATAAATCCACAGGAATTGCTCGCATGTATTGTACAGCAAGAGTTAGTATCTGATTCACATGTCCAGTTAGAACAATTGTGTTTTATTGGCTAGAAAGAGGAATTTATCTGTGTATATCTGAATCAGCACTTATGGATTGTTCCACATACTCTCTCCTTACTCTTCCATTAGGTATTTTAATACATTCTTAGTGAATGAAAAATACCATTTAGTCCTCCTTTTAAGATCAATCTTTAGGTATTTAGAATGGAGATAAAGAGCCTCAGACGTATCTATTTTAAGGCAGATTTTCCCACAGCTCTTGAAATAAGACATCTTTGCTACCAACCTCAACAGCAGTGTTCCTGGAGCTTGTAGAAACATCATATATTGATCAGCCTGAACAACAGACCCAGCAACAGATGACATTTGTTCATACTTTCTGTCCCCAGCAGTCTTTGTTTTCATTGCATGAAGATGTTGAAATTGATCATAAACTGCAATGTTATACAACTGGTATCTTCCTTTCACTGCAAGTGCTCAAAAAACAGTATCTGGACTCCATTTGGGGCCTTGCTAACATTATTTATGATGCTGCTCTACAAACATTTCCTCAGTTAAGTTACACCAATAAAAGGGCCGAGTCTCTGTTGACTCTGTTGAAGGGGAAAGCTATAGAGGTACATTAAATGAGTAGTGTTTTTTTTTTAAATCACAATTTTTTAGGTTAACATGCTAACCCACTGAAATGACAACACCCATTCACTTTATTAAAATGAGTTTATAGCCTGGGGCTATTTTCAAAGCAGCTTTGGGGGCTCAATCTCACATGCTTACATTTGCAAACAGATTTGTGGAAATCCAGAACATACTCACTGCCTGCAGTTTTGGAGAGTCTTTGACAACACTTCCAACAAACAAGCAGAACTCAGACTCCATTTTACCCATGCCATCTGATGGAAGTAAACCTTGTCCTGTGTTTTCTTTATTTTACCTGTGTTTTCTTTTATTTTACAGTCAAAAAAGCACCAAGCAGGTGACATATCTGATTCGAGGCTGCTGTCCTCGCTGTCTGTGCCAGCCTTTGGACAACTGTCGTAATGCATCTGATACATTTGAAAATGAATATATGGCATCTGAGAAGATGCTGCGTATGTGATGCAGTCCAAAGCCAAATATATATCTTACTAAAACATAAGAACATGACTGAGGGAGTTCACGCTAGAACTGGTGCCATCGGCCTCACTTTTTCTTAAAAACAAAACTGCGCAGGCAGCGAGGTATTTGGCTTCATCAGTAACATCAAAGAAATACCTAGGTAGAGAGAACCACAATTAAACAGTTCAGACTTTGGATTCCCATCTCTGGAGCAGGCATTGAGAATTCAACATTGCTACTTGTCAAATATATCTAAGCTTGGACATGAGAGGGCCTATACCATTTACAACTGGATGAAAAACAGTTTTGTTGACAAATTCTTGTCTCCTTCCTCCACAGCACACTGAATATAGTCACTATTTTGCTTCCCCCTCAATCCTTCATTTACCAACTTAAACACCCCTCAATCAATCCCAAAGACGTGCTGATTACAAGTGTTATTGAGTGAAATAAATTTATAATGTAACAAATGCCATATCTCAGTGTATTGTTCAGTGAGCGTCTGGTGAAGCACAAATTAAATATTACAGTTTGTTTCTGAATTATAAAAGTGTATTTTTTTATGATGAATGAACTGCTGTGGACCTTGAAAAGCAGTAGCCTCTGAAAGCAAGCTGAAGTATCTGCAAAAGGAAAGGCTCTTTGCTCGTTTAAAGTTGCCAACAGTTACATGAAGCAGTCTTCAAGAGTCTAAGTAAAGGTTTCTTCAGTCAAATATATACTGCAAGGCTCTCATTTGTATCCTTCCCTGACCCAGTGCTGCAGACGATGTTATGCGCCCATTAGCATGCCCATGAAATCTGATCCATTCTGAATGGTGATGGGAGCTCCAGCACTGTTGTCCACAAATATGGAGGTGTA